TTATTCTAACCAAAGAACGTCTATGTAAAGAAGAAAAGGTTCCATACAAGTAAAATGCTATTACGCCGCTAGAATGCGGAGGGAAAATTTGCCAAGGGATTTGGCGACGGAACCTGGCGGTCAGAATTTCCCTCTCCGCGATGTGTACAGGAAATTGAGAAACACGTGTTAAGAGAAGAAACGCTCTTTGACAAAAAGAAAACTACGAAAATCCGTTTTTAAAGTATTGCGAAAAATCCAAGAAGAAACGTTTTATCAAAGGACGTTTCTTCTTGGATTTTTCGCAATAATTTTAAAAACGGATTTCGTAGTGTTTTTTTTTTTTTCCCTCTGAAAATAAACTAATCCATGAATTAATTTACTTGCGCCAAAAAATATTTTCTTTTCCTTTAGAGTTTAACCACTTGCGCTAAGACTAACTTCACGGTTGCGGTTGCCGTGCGCTACAATATAACAAGCGGTAAAGTGTCTCATTTACGCCGCTCCGCATCTGCGAGTGCAATCCAGAGCTGTAACTCGAGAAATAAACAATCTCGTTGTTAGGCGACATGTGCACCACGTTATTTTCATTTTTGCGATAAATGCTTATCGACGTGGTGTTCACGTCGCTCGCGGTTTGAGACAAAAGCATCTTGACGTGCGTGGCACGTCTTTTTAGCGCGAGTGGTTAAAGAAATTTTAAACGATATTCATTTTATGAACTCTTGATAACGTGACCTTCGAACTTCGACACCGGTTTCGAGCTTTGGTGACAGATATATCAGACATGCACAGCTGTTTCCCTCTATGATGGAACGGAGCCACACCCACGTCTGTTGCAGAGAGGTTTTCCTTCTTTACAATACATATTCTTTGATTCTAGCCTCCATAGTACCGTATACTAGGATTAAACCCATTTTGTTTTATACGAGAACAGTACTTTCTTTAGTTCGTGCACTGCACATGCGATTCTCGAGAATACTGGAAACCAAAAGTTGCGGGAAAGTTGCTTTGCCTTTCTAAAAGACAATCAAATTGGAGCTGCGAAAATTGGCTCTATGCCAGCTACCCGAATTGACACTCAGGTGATACATAATCGCCAAAAAAGTTACCTCTTCGAGTCGTCGGCGCAAAAATCGCTTTTTTTAGCGGGATCGTTGTATGAACTTCCCTGACTTTTCCAGATTTTGACAAAAATACTTAAATTCCCTGACTTTTCCCGGTTTTCCAGGTAGCGTGGCAACCCTGTGCATGGCAGAATAAGCACCAGATGGCAAAAGAACTAGCACCAGCCCTGTGTATAAGCAATGTAAAAAGAAGCTTAATATGCCAAATTAGATCAGAGTAAGCTGAGTATATGCATAACATTGATGCAGCAGCATTACAGAAATGTCATAAAACAATAACTGTAGAAATTTGATTCTTGAGAAAGATTGTTCACACATAAACTGAAAACTAAGCTAGCTGCATCTTTTTCAGAAACAGATAATTGATATTTGTTGAGAGACTACTGTTGTCAATTACTTTCTGTTAACCTTCCAGAGCAGCCGTTCTCAACCTTTTGACTACCGTGTACCATCTAAACAAAAACTAAAAAGCATTAGTATCGCCACTACTTTTGACAATGATTATTTTTCAATTTCTCAATAGAAATATTTAAAATATATATATATTGCCATTTGCACAACCTGTTGGCTCTGTATTAAATATGCACATACAAAAAACTATTAGATTAAAAATTAGTTACCGTGTTAATTATCAAAATATCAGTTATAATATTTCTAATTCTAAAATTTGGACCTGTTTAAGAAAGATCAATTTCTTTATGTGTGGTCTTATTTCATTTAGCTTTAAAGGTAAATTAGGATCCACTTTTAATTTTGTTCTGTATTTATATTTCAAATGTAACATGGAAAAAATCCTTGTTCACACAAACAGGTTGTCCAAAAAGGCAATACAAATTTGATATGCTTTTAAATTTTTTTTTTTTCTGTTTGGCCAAAAGTTAACAAGTGTGTCATTTTCGAAATCTTCAGTTAGATTTCGATAACAGGAAATTTCTATCAATTGTTCTTTAAGAGATTTTTGAATTAAATAGTTCAAAATACTTTGCTTCTTTGTGTACCACCGGCTGAGAACCACTGTTCTAAAGTATGTGGCACTACTTTAAACACATGAAATTCTAGTTTTTAAGTGTTATTGTCCCCACTGCCCAAAGTTTAAATGCAGTGTTTTAATTAATCTCTTACATAAGTAAATATGCAAACATCTTATAAGAAATAAGAAAAAACATCATTCAGATGTTTGTTAATTACGTGAATGGGCCCATTAATTCTAGTTAACTGGAATTCTACAGTGATTAATATCTACATATACATAATCAGAAATTTTCACTCATATAAAATTTTATACCTGGCTTTTGACCCACTACATAGATTTTACTGCTGTTCACGCATTGTCAGACACTGCATTTTGCCATGTGAGCGTTAAATAACAAACTGGATTTTGTAGAATAGTAAGAAGCTGTGTGCAAAGAGAAATCCTGTTTTCTGTTGCATTAGATTAATGAAAGGATTAGTAGAAAAAAAGATGTTACTTAAGACAACATAGGATTGTGGGATGGATGGTAATCAAGTTATGATGATGCTGGTATCTTTAAAATGACATGGGAATCTCATAAAAAACATTAGGCTCATTAGTATTTCTAGAAAGATCCTTAAATGCTGTGTAGCAGTGTTTCCTAAATATTCTGAGCTTGCTACCCACATGCATATAGCTGTACTTTATTGAACCTACATACATAAAGTCACTCTGGAAAAGGATGGGGGAAAAGAAAATAATGCATACATATATGTAACTACAGTACAAAGTCTTTAATCCGGATGTCCATAATTCTGAATGATCTATAATCCGGACCTCAAAGCTACAAACTTTCTGCGCATAATACGTTTAAGGTATAACGGACGGTATAAGCTAGGCTAAAGTTATCTAATTACCTATTCCAGTTAATGTTGCAGATTGCGTTGTTCCTTAATCTTCTAATTGGATCCGGCTTATTATTTTTTGCAGACTGTTAGAGCAATTTTATAAAAAGTAAGCTTGAACTTTCGATTATGTCAAAAAGAGTTTCCGATTCTGGAGCTGCCAAAGGATCTACAAAGCGAAAGCATGTTTCGATGTCCATCAAACAAAAAGTGGAATTGCTGCAAAAAATGGATAAAGGCATGAAGAAAGTGACAGAGAGGTTAGTGAAAATGAAAAAATTTCAATTGACAAGTAAGTTGGTATTCTCGGCACAGCAATTACAGGACTTGAACAGCGGAAATTTGTAACTGAACAAGAAATTATGCCTGTTTATGGAATTAAGAGAAAGTATTAGCACATAAAACGAAGCAACTTAAACAACTTACATTGAAAGAAATGTTTAATAAAGTAAACAAATATTAAGTTTTTTTTTTTTTTTGTAAATTTTGATACCTTTTAGATCATAATTGCTCTTTATTTCATAAATTAAAGCTTCATATTTTTAATTTTATAATTTCTGCATGCCATCTTACCAGATTTAAACTGGTGATCTATAATCCGGAATCGCCAAAGTCCCGACGAGTCCGGATTAAAGACTTTGTACTGTATTAACAACTATATGTAAATTCATAATTACAATCAAATGTGTTAAATTACGAGAGCTTAAATTGCACAGGTACATCTTAGTTTTGGGTATAAATCATAATTCTAGCCACAGTGCACCGGAGCCCTAATCAGAAGGCTCTGGCACTTCTTTTATATGTAACTGAACAGCAATTTAAGTAGAAAATTAATCTCGAAAATTTTATTTCTTGCAATAAAATTATATTACAAATTGCTTATTAAAATTTAATTTATCTCTTTACATTTTATTTAATTACATTAATTTTAAGTATTTAACTATTTTATAATAATAATTAAGTTATTTAATTAAATAATACTTGACAAATATTAATTATTAAAATTAATTACATAATTAATTTGTAACAGTTAACTATTTAAATTATTAATGATTTTAATAGTCATTTTATTTATTTATTTACTTCTGTTTCTCTTTGCTGACATCATCCATAGGGCTCTGGCACTCCTAATTTTAAAAATTAAGCTCTGACAATTACACAAGACAAAAATGCAAAACTTTCCATGCCAAATCAAACAATGTCTCCCGATCCACACTTGGATAACCACTACCGTATAGCACAGAGGTCCGCAACCTATGACCCGTGGGTCACCGAGTGACCCATTTGGTAATTTCAAGTGACCCACTTTAGTTCCGAAAATAAAATATATGATATACAAACATTTTTTTTCTTTTCCCAAAAAAATTTTGTCGCAAAGTTATGAATGTACAAAATTTGAATCCAGTATAACATATAAAAATATCAGTTAAAGGCCCACCCCCGCCTGACTGGATATGGAATCAGCCAATAGTATGCGGAATGCAGTGACATTGTCTGAACAAATTGTGTTCCTGGACGTGCGCGTCGTTATCTCAGTTGTATGTCAGTTATAGTTATAGCACATGTAGTACAGTAGCACAATATTGACCTAGTGAAATAAATATTACTATTTAAAAAAATTACCATGAACAAACAAAAAGCAAAAAAGAGATTATTTCAAGATGTGTGGACAGAAAAGTATGGGTGTATCGAAAATGGTGACAAATTGATATGTACTTATGTAAGATTAATTACTGCAGGACTTATAATATGAGCGACACTTTCTTCAAAAACATAAAGATGTGAGTGAAATGCAAGAAGATAAATCTGAATACATTGCTAACGTGTATTAAATTTTGGAAACAAAATAAATTCTAAAGAGTTTTTACCAGCAACAATCATGCTACGTTTGCCAGCTTTGTTGCAGCTCTTAGCATTGGTAGCAACGGAAAACCATTTACAGACGGCGAGTTTTTGAAAAACGCATTCATAAATTGTTCTGAACACTTATGTAATGACTTCGCAAATAAAAAACAAATAATTGAGAGAATCAAAGAAATGTCGTTGTCAGCTAGAACAAGTGGCTTTTTGGAGGCCAAGAATATTGATGAACAGGTCAAAAATGATTTATTATCTTGTGACATAATTAGCATTGCAGTTGAGGAAAGTACCGACATAAATAGTATTGGTAGGTTTGCAATAATTATTAGATTTGCATCAATAAATAGCTCGAATGTCAATGAAGAACTATGTGTTCTTGCTTCAATGAATGAAACCACCAAAGGCAATGATATTTTTCATCAAGTACAAGAGTTTACAAATTTCAAAAATGGGCAAGTATTGGATTTAAAAAGTAAATTGTTTTCCATAACAACTAATGGTGCTCCAAGTATGAAAGGAAAAACTGTTGGATTTGTAAAACTAATGGAAAAAGTTGTTAAGATCATAAACATGATAATAGTGCGATCAGCATTAATACACAGGCGCTTTAAAGCTTTTTGGAGGAAATTGAATCAAAATATGTAGATTTGTTATTACATTCTGAAATATGATGGTTAGGTCGGGCCAAAGTTCTTAATAGATTTGTAGAGTGTTTTGATGATATACAAATATTTCTTCACAAAATCGGTGAAAATGATCTCAAACTCAATGATAAACAATGGTTTTTAAGACTTTTGTTCTTAACAGATATAATGAACCATTACAATGATTTCAACGTACGACTCAAGGAAATAACCACACAATTTTGAAAATGTATGAGGAATGGAAGAGTTTGACTTCAAAATTGATATTATTTGAAACTGACATAAAAACTAAAAAATTTCATTTCTTTCCCTTGTTAAAAAGGGAACATGAAAAAGAAAATATTGATGAACACAATCTAAATATGTTTGAAACTTGGATTTCGGTCATTAAAAGTGAATATGAAAGTCGGTTTCAAAGTCTTAAGAAACATGGAGAAATGTTTATATTTATAAAAAGCCCGATGAAATATAGAAGAAAATACTTATAAATTTGCAGTATTTTGAATATCTAAGAATTGACAATTTTAGTTTAGAAAATGATTGATTTTAAAAGTTCAACATTATTGGACGTATAAATTCAAGAAATTGCGGAACGATTTGGTAAATACAGAAGATAATAATTTTCTCATGATATCAACATGTTGGGCATCACTTCCTATGAGGTTTTCATCATTAAAAAAAATTGCCTTTGCCATTTTGTCCACTTATAAATGTGAGCAAATATTTTCACAAATGGAAATTTATTTTAAGCAAAAACAGGAGCAGGTTAACTATTAAAAATTCAGATGCTTGTGTTCAACTTAAAACGACTAACTATAAACTAGACTTGACTAAATTGACGTCACAAGTTCAACATCAGGGGAACCATTGATATCATAGAGAAAGTTTATTCAACTATATTTGTAATTATTTTCTTAATAAAATATATCTTATTATTTACTAAAATACTGTTTTAATACGAAAATATCTCTGACCCAAACGTCTCTTTAATACTCACATTTTGGTTGATTTTGACCCACGGCCAAAAAAAGTTTGCCGACTCCTGGTATATCATATGTCCTCAATCTAATATTTTAAATTTCTAAACATACTTCTCGAAAGCCTATAAGTTTTATGCAACATGTCTTGTGGTTTAATTCCAAATGCCTATGAATTGGCTACTACCATCCAGATCTTCAGTTCAAGTCCTGCTGATCACTCTGGAATACTGGAATAATAAGCGATACTCTGGAATCATAAGCGAAGTGTTAGATCTTTAAACGCAGGACTGAATTGCAGAAGAGAGTTGAGGTCAGTATTGCAAAAAATATGGTTTGCATTTACTTGAAAATCTTAGGAAGCTGATGCTCGGGTTGAGCGGACATTCATGCCAATCAACCAGCTATAATGACTTCTTATTGTTCAATGAACATATCATGAGTATAAAAAATAAATGTCAATATAAAATAATGCACCAAACAAAAACATAAAATACTTATAGTTACACATATTTTTATTCAAAGTGTAACAAAATTTGTGAAATATTGATAATAATAACAGTAAAAAATATAAATCAGAAAAAGTTATCTAAATACAAAATGCTATAAAAATGCACAGACAGACATAAATATTAATCATAATCAGCAGAATTTTCAATTTCTGCTTTGAGATTCATCATGCACTTCTGAAACTTCTCTTTAGCAGTCAAGGCATAAACAAACAGACGTCTTAGTTGATGAAGATAACCTTTTCTCTCCAACAGCTGAAATAAAAAGAAAAAAAAAAAAAAAAAAAAAAACTTAATGCTTGTACTCTTGATTTTACATACAATATCAGCATGTAATATTGACCACATAACTTACTTCCCTTACTGCAGTGCAAAAATATTTCTCAGATATTATCAGTTTGATCAGAAAGTAATGCAGAACTGAGATAGACAGCTTCAAATGTTAAGAGGGCATTGTTGAAATGAATTTAATTACTAATATAACATCAATCATGTTTTGAGACTGTGCATTTTAAGCTTCAACCAGAGGCATTTTCTTTTCGGGCGAGTTCTAATATTATTCATTGCATATGGATAGATTGTGGACATATTAGCAGAAAAATGGTGAAATTATTAAAAGTATAGCACAGCTAGTGCTTGTTTGGGTTATTCGTCAAATACTTCAACCCCAAAATGGCTACTAAAAATGTAAAGTTGATTCAGAGTGTCATGCATGATGAATGGACCTGGAAATATTTTTTTTTTTTTTTTACAGTTGTAAAAGGTAAACCAGTGTGTCTCTTTTGCAATGAAGCTGTAGCAGTCTTCAAAAAATATGACATGTTATTGCACTAGTCCATTCAATTTATTAAGAACCCGTACGCACGCAACAATATTTAAATTGTAATATTTGTATATTGTTTTTAAAATTTTAAACAAATTTATCTTGGCCTGACAAACTTCCCCCCCCCCCCCATTTTTGGCCTGCGACTGAAAAAGTTTGCTCATCCCTAACCTATACAACTGGTCAAAATCACTTTAAACTAAACAAAACTGGTGATTTCTTATTATAACAGCTCTCGTTTTTAACTACCAATTTTGTGCCAGAATTATGACCAAGTTTATATTTACTTCTTGCATACATTTTTATGCCATATTTCCATGACAGCTTTTAACATGACATCAGAAGCATTTTCTGGTTACAAGGACTTCCCTGATACCATGAAGAGAATTTCACGACAAGTTGCATTTAAAGTTTTACAGATTAAAACAACTCAAGCTTTCTTCCATTGTATTGGAAAGACTCCTAATGACAAGCAATGGTTGAAACATGTGTGTAAAAAAGTGCTATCCACCTCATAAGAGTGCTGTATAATTTCATTGGAATGAGAGTCTAGCTCAGCTGTTTTATTCTTCTTAAAATGTTTAATAACACTGTTAACTTTTGGTTCAGAGAACTTACAGTCAATAAATGAAATATATAGCCCCTCGGACTCAGTGTGCATAGCTGAATGAGAATTCTTATCACTACACATATTATCTCTTGGAAAATTCTTTGTCATAATAGCAAAAAGAGTATCACTCAATGATGAAGTAACACTGCCATCTGGAAGTTTAAATGAATCCCGGGACTTAAGTGAAGTCCTGAAATGTCAGTCTTCTTTTGGAAAATTGGTCTTGACATCATACCTATATACATTTTCGCAGACATTTTGAACATTCATAGTTGAGAGGAAATTTTTCCACGAATCAAGCTTGGCTTTAGCTAATTTAGCCTTATAATTATGTTGCAACTTAAGATATTTAATTATATATATATATTAAAGAATACTGTTACTTTCTCTCTGGAATCTATGCCTCGCAGCATTTACATTGCTTCCCATAACAATAAATTTTCTTAGACCACAAAGGAACAGTGTTCTTTTCTCCATCGAAATTGATAGAGAAGCACAGTTAAAAATAACAGTAGAAAGACTATTTACAACATTTTCTATTGCAATCCAATCAGAGCAACTGTCAAGAAGAATATTCATGTCATGCAGTTCTCTCTTACAATGTTCTGTAAATAATAACCAGTTTGACCTTTTAACATTAAAAGAACTTAGACTAGAAGATATAATCAGAAGACATAAAGCAAGCTAAAAAATAATTACTTTTTAGACCACAAAAGAACACTTTTCTCCATCGAAATTGATAAAGAAGCACAATTAAAAATAACAGTAGGAAGACTATTTACATCATTTTCTAATGCAATGCAATCAGAAGCAACTGCCAAGAAGGATATTCAAGTCATGCAGTTCTCTCTTACCAAGTTCTGTAATTAAAAGCCAGTTTGATCTTTTTACATTAAAAGTACTTAGATTAGAAGATATAACCAGAAGACATAAAGCAAGCTAAAAAATAATTAATCACTTTGTGGTCAAAAAGAGAACAATACAGTATAACTCAAGCCATGCACATAACTAAAATTAGCTTCATGATTTTCATTAATTAGAAACAAACGATTTGCACTAATAGAGAATCACCATGCTTCATTCCTCTAGCATCAGTAACAGGACTATGCCAAATCGCTGATTTGCTTTTCGAATCCACACCACAGAAAAAAATCGCTAACATTTGTGAAATTTTTAATAATTTTATATCAATGTTAGTATGGAGCTCAAAATATGCAAAACAAATAGTCAAATCAGAAGCATTAACTTTTATATCCAAAACAACAGTATTATAAACTGTATGATTTAAATCCAAAAAAGGAGAAAGCTGCTAATTATGAATAATAATAGCAGACCAGACAACTTCTGCTGCAGAACCATAGTAAACTATGTTTAATTGGAAAGCCAGGAAGAACACCTTTATAAAATGTGGTTCCTGAATCAGTGCAACATTAATGCCATCTGCCTCCAATTATAAAGTAACATCAATGTCATGTGCTTCCATATATAAAATAAGTTGCTTAGTAGCACATGAGCTACAAACACAGTGTCACAGCTCCATGGATTAAAAGGTATATCGGCAAGCTCCACTTTTATGCAGTGATGCATAACCACTAGATATAAACACAGGGAGTAAAAATTTATACCAACAATGCTTTTACGTACTGTTCAACAGCACACTGTAATATCTCAAAGCACCATTTTGGCACACATATTGAATTACAAAATCTACTCATTGAGTCCTGTCTGGCAGCCTTTATAACCTTTAGTAAACGATCAACTTCAATCGTTGTTTGACAGCAATGTTTTCCTTTCACAGCCTCCTTATGTTTTTATTGCAATTAACACAGTTTAAATACTTTTAGCTGATATTTAATCCAAAATTGAAGAATTATCTTGTTACATTTAGTTTCCCTTTTTATTGTTACCTTCAAAAATTGATATGAATGTGGATTAAATATAGGGCTGGTGCTAGGCATTTTGCCATCTGGTGCAATCTTTGCAGATCCTTAACTCTTTCACATCGAGAGAGGACCAAATATCTTTTCCTCAAACATCAAATGCCCATGTATACGAATTTCTCTTGGAATGGTTTTCCTCCCC